TTTGAAACAGTCTGTATAAATGATAATCTACTGGTTTCACCATATTGCAACATTTGTTTGCTGATAAATGCCTCTGTTTTGACAGTTTTTTTTTATTCGTTTTAAATTGTATACAGCACTACAACAGTACCTATAGGTAGATACAATTCATTTTCGTATGCCAATCTGTACTTCATTTAAGGCGTCGATCAATTGGTATATAATAGGATGACTGCAATAAAACATTCCATTAAGGTCAGCGTGAACACTTTCACAAGCATTTTCAGTTCGTGAAATAGAAGAAAATTAAGTTTTTTACTAAGGTTGAGGTTAAACCGATCAAACATATTTTTTTACAGCTGTCTGAATATCGTCAATATCAAACAATAATTTCCCAGCGTCCACGATCGTTATATCAAAAATAATAATTGGACATTTATCCATAATCAGTATCTTTTATTTGTATCCACAATTTGGCGATTGTAAACTGCGTCCAAGATACAGGTAAACACAAAATCATACACGTAAACTGCGTCCGAGTAAAATTACAGGTAAAATACTTAATTCGTTACAGATATATAATATGAATGATTAAAAATAAAATATAATTTAAAAAAGAGGGTAAGTGAGTACCGCTCTGCTGTACATTAGGGGGTGGGGTGAACCTCGGACTAGAGTAGGTTAAATTTGGATGCAATGATAGGTATCATTGTATACGTATAAAACGATTCTGAACGGAGATAATTTGTCAGTCTAGGATATATTATATTTAAATATTGTCATACATTCTATTTTGAAACAAATATTTTATTTTTCAATTTGAACGCATTTGCAAAAGTCATGGTTAATCAATTAATTATTAATTTTTATGAATTATATCTACAAAATAGTTTGCAAATAATCATAGTTTTGACGAATTTTTGTCAATATTTGAACTTCAAATGCTAATAAAAAAAAAATGTGCCTATATATTCTTAAAATTGTTTGATCACTATAAGAATAACTTATGAGGAACTTTGTATTAAATGTTCAAGTATTTTTATTGGGCCAAAAAAAATTTATCAACACTTCAAAAAAAAATTATTAGAAAAATTGAAAATTTCAGTTGTCTATAAATAGCTCAAAAAAAGTCAAAATATTTTAAAAATTAAATCATGTAAAGAAAATGCCAATTTAAATAACTGGTAAAATTTTCAAGTATCTACGACTTATACTTTTTGAATATTAACAAATATTTAAAATCGTTTGAGGATAAATCGTTATCGTTATGCTATTTCGTAAAAATTTAAAATTCAAACACATTTAAAATTTTTCCTATAATGATGCTTTGAGTTTTTACTATAGTTACTTGAAGGAAAACTTAGGGAAAACATAGTGTAGTATTTTTAATCCTTAGTTATAAACACAAAAAATTTTATGATTTTTCAACTTCAAAATTACTTACAAATTTTCGTGTTTTCGATAGATTTCGTAAATATTTGAACTATAAATGTTTATAAAAAATAATTGTGACTAACGATTTTTAATTTTTTTTAGCTACAATAAAAACAACTCATAAGGAACCTTTTATTAAATTTTCAACATTTTTTGGTCACCCAACATTTTTTTATCGACACTTCAAAAAAAAAAATCTTATAAAAATCGATAACTTCAGTGGTCTATAAATAACTCAAAAAAATTCAAAACTTTTGAAAATTAAACTGTATATAGATAACACTAACATAAACATTTGGTGAAAATTTCAAGTATTTACAGTGATTATTTTTTGAATTACAACCATATAAAAAAATCGATTTGATCGAAAACTGATTTTGCGTAAAAATTCCCGTTTTTCCGTCATTTTTTTTTTTTGTTTTTCTCGATTTTTTTTTAAAACTGTTGGAAAATGTTTACTTTTTACCTCTATAATGCACCAAGGATATTCACTTTTCCATCGGAAACCACCCCCGAAGTTTTAAATTGAAGCATTATTTCGACTACTTATGCTGTACACAGACACACAAAAAAAAAAACACACATCATTGTAAAATCAATACATTCATCACTCCGTTCAGAATCTAAAATTTAAATAATTATAAATATTACAAATTATAACGTCATATTGTTATAACATATTAGGAATTAAAAAATATATAGTTTTAGAAATAAAAATAATTATAAATATTACAGACAATAACATTATGGTGGATACATATTCATCAATTGGAATTTGATTACTATTATATTTATTGATTAATTTTTCTAATTTTTTTTTTTTTTTTTTTTTTTTGGTTTTAGAGTTTTGGAATTTAAACGGTTCATTTATACTATTTAATTTAATATATATTTCTAATTGAATTTCTTTTAATTTTTCTATAAAAATGAAATATCAATCGAAAATGACAATCGTCAAACATATAGAGACTTCAATAAGTCAAAATTTAATAAGTGTATAAGTCGGGCACAGTTTTTACACTATACCTTTTTAACATAGATAAAATTTCGGTCGCAGTTTACAAAATAAAAGATCATTTGGGCGTAGTTTACGTATGCCCCCGCAAGTCGTATGTTACCTTTTTACATTTCGTCAGCAACTCACATGGTTTTTGTCACTTTGTCCATTATTCGAAAATACCGACTGCACATTACACCATATCAGTGGCGCTCTAAAGAGAGCGGGCTCTTGATCCAGAACCATTTCTCTTGTAGCATATTATGTAGTCACAGTGGCGAGCCAAATGGCTCAATTTTAACGCAGCTACATCAACTTTTTATTGAGAATAGTATTATGTGTATAAATGTATTGTATTTACACAACAGTTTTATATAGGGTATGGTGGACGGTGGTGGTAAATACTTAAATATGAAATTACAATATTTAAAATTTAAGTTTAGTGCACCACTGTGTAGACATATAGTATTTTCAATAAAATTATAATTAAATATTATTTGATTTTATCAACCTACAAATACCTAATAAATAATAATTAATTATCAAGATATTTAAATGCAAGTGTTACTGAAAAAAAAATCCACTTCGGCATATCATAACTTGTATTTACTATTCTACAAACAATATTGTTTAAAAACGTTTATCGCAATTTGTAGATTCCTCGTGTACCTCTATACTATAATATAGTCTGTAGAAATCTGCAGTTGTCTGTATAGTACCTAAATATAAAATACTATTGTGTTGATCGTGTGCAGAACAGAAAATACGAGTACACAAAATTATTTAAAATTAGTCGTTCTTTAAAAATCTGGCAAAATCGTTAAAACCGGTACTCTTACAAAATACCATACCGGGCGTAACCCTTATTTTTTAAAGGCCAAGGTTTCTATAGGTCTTTGTCCGAACAGAAACCTCTCCGATTGCAATGGGTTAACAAACCGTAACGTTCCGGTGTGATTATAAACGGTTACACGGCGTGTACATAATATTATCATGCGCAGATTTGGTTCTACTAGATAGTTCAAACGAATAGCTCTGAATGCCCTGATAATAAAACAATAATCTTTTTTTTTAAATCGGCAACATTTTAATTGCATCATTTAAAATAATCGTGTTTTAGCAATTTATTATTATCATTTACTCTTATTACTTTAGTTTTTCTATTAGAAACTCTGAACTTACGAAGTATTTATAAAATATTTATAAAAGAAATCTTAATAGGTATAATGTTGCTGTGCGAACATATAGAATTATTAATATAATCAAAACCAAAATCTCAAATGCGATAATAATAATATAAATTCAAACGATGATTAGATGTAACGTTAAAATAGCACTGTAGATAATTATTATGTATTTATTAATTTGTTAAGTTGTTAAAGGCAATATTTAATTTAATATCTTTTATACAGTATTTATTGCCTAACTGTATGTGCCTAAATACATCGTATATAAACGTTAATATATAAAATGTCATCAAAGGACCCGGATGTAAAAATTTTACTAAGGTAAAACAGCAAATACGTAGCATGTAAAAATATATTAAATATTTCATATCTATAAACAAATTTACCGTGTATTTATCACCACGATTACTGCCACATTGATACATTCAGTCATTCAGATCTGAGCGAACGTCCTTCCAAGCAAAGACTTTAGGTACCTTTACGACTTCACTGTATGGCACTGTATGGAATCGATATTATTAGGTATCCATAATATAAAATAATATACATACATATTATTACATTACATAGTATTACTTATAACTATAGTCTGTAATGTATAGACAATAGACGTATGATCAAATAACTAACACACTAATCGTCTGTATTATTCTTAGAATAAACAATTATAAATTACTGAGAAACTAATAGTTTGAATTTTAAATTACTTAGGTACAACTAACTTCAAGATTTACAAAAAAAATTACACTTAATAATTTACAAATTAAGTGTTGGATTTACCTTTTTTATTTCTAGCAACCAAATTGACAAAATTAATCATCAGTATTAAATCACATTCACCATAAATAAGACAATTACTGAATAATACAATATAGTATATACTAAGTAGTTAAATTTATACGAATACATAGCAGAATGTTACAACATAATAATTTAGATATTATGAATTCGACTGAAGGAATTATCAGAAAATTCTCTTTTAAAGAATACAATAACTGTGCAAAATTAAAATAGCATTTGTATGAATAGATTCTATTGTTCAGGTAATATCTTTATTTCTTTAATAAAATAATAATTTAATAAAAAAAAAAAAAAAAATAATAATAATATTAATAATAATAATAACTCACAACTTAAGTAACAGATATACAAATGTGTCACATAAAGTCGCAAGGGATGTACACGTGTTTAATAAATAAAAATTAATAAAGCATATATTTTTTTTTCTTTATCAACACATGGTCTTTTAAGAATACATTGCATTGGTATATACTTAAAATATATTGTATAATAATACATATTTAGTGTATATTCTAATGTCTATTTATTTAGTAAAAGGTAGGTGGTACAAAATACAAGAAAAAAAACATTGATGTCACTCTTAACAATTATATAATCTTATTTATACAAGTCTATAACACAGAAAATACTATTTTGTTTAAAACTAAAAACATACAAGGTAAAATAATATTTATGTTCTTTTAAGTCTTAAATTCTAATGAGAAGGAAGTTAGGTAGATTGGTTTTTTTAATAGTGTGGACATCTAGTTTGGAAATACAGGACACACACACACACACACACAAACACACACACACACAATCAAACATAGACACACACTAACACATACAAACACCAATGTATAATATATATAATTGTATTACACATCTAACTGTGACTCTGTGGATGATACGTCTGTTGGGATTCTTCTAACCAATGAGTTTTGTTCTGTCGTACCCCTTCGATCAATGGCTCAAGTTTCTCTGACAGATCGGCAATCGCCTGTCAATTAATAATAAGGTTATACTCAGTTAAAAATGTGTTGTCAATTTTGATTATTTACTTATGTGATACCATAAGACTATTACTGTTTACATTTTTTTTTTTAAATAAACGTAATATTTTAACTTTGAAAATTAAATATATAAGTAAAAGCAGTTAAACTAATTCACCTGATATATGGGTAAACATATTGAGTCAATGAATCCAACTTGCATCATTGGTAACTGATCTTCTTTTTCTCGATTCATTATGTCCTATACAAAAAATTACATTTTAATCTTATGTGTGTAATAAAATACATTTTGAACAATATGAATGAGTCAATTTTACTTACAATAGGTGTGATATTAAATTTTCTTCTTTCTATGTCACCTTGTTCAAAAAATTCATTAGTAACCAGTTCAGCCACCTAAACATAATAAATAATTTATAAGATTTAAGAATGAATCTCTAATAAGTAGTAGAATAATTAATATGTAAAACATTATTCATAAATACAGGTAAGTGTATAATCATTGATTATAAATACTAGTGTTGCACATACTCGTTTTTCAATCTCCCATGGTTTGGTAATAGCGGCTAAATCGCATACAGTCATTAACATAGCTCTAAACAGTTCTCTATCCTCTTCTCTGGTCCAGTCGTACATACCCGTACGAACTAGTTCTAGGAACTTCCCTCGTTTTCTATGCATATTTAATTAAAAATTATTATTATTATTAGACAAATATAAGTATATAGTATATATGTATAATATATTTAAATTAGGTATAAGATATTGAAATACGCACTTGATGTAAAATTATATTGTTTCAAAAACTATATCAGATTTAACGTTTAAAGTTAAAATATGAGTATAATAAATAATAATTAGGTATAAGGTTATTGGAAAAAAAAATCGAATTGACTAAACTAATAATTTTACTAAAATAATTTAATAAATTCTAACCTGAAGTATACAGCTAAATCAGTGGCTAAAATAGCATCTTCTAATACTTTAATAACGCGAGAATACTCATTTGGAGATAAATTACCTAAAATTTGATTACCCTAGAAAAATTATTTTCCATATTAACAAAACATAATATCAAAACTTGAAAAATATATTATTTAATCACATACTTGACTATTTAATATCATTAAACATTGGTCAAAATGATGGTGTTCCATAGTGGAGGTTGAATATAGTTGTGCAAGTGGTGAGGAAACTCTGAAAATACATAATTAAAATAAATATAAAATCATATTATACAATTCAGGATAGAAAGAAAATAATATTTTATGGTCATATCTTACTTTATTTGAAAGGAATTGTTTGTTCCACGATGGTCCAAATCATGACAAAGACAAGCAATAATGAGGGCAAGACATTCTAAGTCACCAAAAACTTGCCACCACCGTGTTGCCTAAAACAAATATTTGATAAAATATAAAATACTTTTTACTATATTTAATCATATATACATACAGTAATAATGGAAAACATCATCTGAGCAACATTGAATGCATGCCTCCAATTGTGATAAGTTACTGATCGATAATTTTTTTTGACACTTAACAGCCATCGACACAAGACCTGATAGTCAATATGAAAAGGTTCAACTAAATCCATATCCATAAACATTCTGATGCTTGCCTGAAAATGAAAATAATTGTGAATTATGGTTCATATCCACAGAGGAAAAAAATAAGACTATGTATACTAACCAGTAATGTGTCATCGTCACTCATATAAATATCATCAAAAGAAAAATCATACAAATTGTATGTAACAGCTGATGGCACTTGCAAAGCCTATAAAAAAAAAAAAAAAACATAAAAACCCACAAAATAAATAAAATTTATTAATTTACCCTCAACTTTTGTGCATCTTCCAGTGAAGCTGAAGCATGGTAACTAAGCACGTCCAATGTAACATTTTGTTTTGCATTGGCAATGATGGCTTTTTCAAACCTACAAATTAAACTACCGAGTAACAAACGTAAAATCCTAATCATGGCCACAATAATATTACGATAAGTGCATTTGGACTTTGTGCACTTTTACTTACTTACATGTGTGTGTTATGTATTCCCATGCCACAAAATATGGCAAACGCTTCCACGAAATTTTCATCGTTTTTGGTAAATAAGAGATCATCAAACTTGTTGACTAACTGTAATATATAATATTTAATAATTAGTATCAATCATTAATAATTTAAATTAAGTTAAAGATAAAATATTATAGTCAATTTGTCATAAAATACCATCACAAGAAATTTAATAAAACCCAACAATGCGAAAAATATTATTGATACTATAATTAACAATTTTATAATTCACAATTTTTAGAAAAAAAAAAATTTTTTAAATACATCATGGTATAAAATAAACTTTTTAACTAATTTAGTAGTATTAAAAATTGATTAATCAATATTAGACATAATATAAAACATAGATTAAGTCACTGTTATTAGATAGGTCACTGTCATATTCAGATAAAATGTAACGGAAGACAATATTTGAACCAGAACTTGAAACCGATGTTATAATATTAATTAAAAATCAATATCAATAATGAAACACATTTAATTCCTTATTAAAATTAAACAGGTAAATACACAATTTACAATCTATAAAACTAAAAACGTAATAATATGCTGATTTGAACAATCAACAGAATGGCGTGAAAATTAAAACCAATATTAAAAATTAAAACGGTCGAAAACGATTGTACGAATTACGGTTATCTACCATTTAGCAGATAACACCGGACAACCGAACGGATGTAGATTTTATTTTTGTCATCGAAGTTCCGAATAATATCAGCAATAAATTAACAAATAAACTACTACGCCCCAGACCGATTTCATACGGTATAATATTACGGTTATATTATTATGACGTTATAATTTTTTTATTGTCAATTTACTTGTATCACTCCGATGATTTGACCGGACGAATTTTTGATCGGCATGCACAGCACGGTGGAGTGTTTGAAACCAGTGTCTTCGTCTACTGACTGATCGAAACGGCTGTCTTCGTAAGCGTTTGCAATGTTTACGGTCTGAAAACGATAACGGTTCGCAATAAGTTTGGTTACACATTATGTACGACCGAAGCCGCCAAACTCTGGTTTTAATAGGATTATTTTTAACTATTACATGGCATTAACGACGAATTGTGTTACTCGTCTTCAGCAGGACGAAACTATAATAATATTATAACACAGGATACGGTTTCTCAACCGCACAAAGTCCCAGGTGGGTTACACGGAAATCAAAGAGTTCGAAGTAAGCGGCTTTACGGCGATACGACTATGTCGCATGGTAATACGTAAATATCTCGAAGTAATGACGATTTTATTTTAAACCTATTTTTTTGTTGTTGTTGAACGATCGGAGGGCGATTAGGTTTAAAAATAAATCGAGAAACCATTAACCAATATTATTACAGTTGTCTGGTATTATAACAGTCGACAAGCATAGAAAAACACTAAAAAAAAATAATATCATTCTAATTTTGTTTATCAGCATATTATTATACTGGATATATACGATGTTAATAAGAAGTAAACAAATAAATACATTTTTTAAATGTTTAACATCTTAAAAGGGTAATTTACTGTGACATAACCAGTTTATTTTTATTCTTTAGAAGTATAAATAAAATAAAATCATATGCGTTTAATGTTTGTTTTATTTGGGAATAAAAACACGAAAAAACCTAAAATAAAATGCATCTTATAGAATGTTTATTATTATAAATGCATTAATTAACGTTTTCAACTGCATTCAATTCCTAGCTCTAAGTTTATTATTCACACCGTTTTAGTATATTATGTATGTGTTTTTATTACGCTTACCTCTCCGGTAGTGGCCACGTAACCGGTTATACCAATGTTGACAGGAAATCGGCTTTCGAAAGGGCTAAAAAATGACGGCACTGTTAATAGTTACCTAGGTCATAAAAAGGAGGCTAGAAATAAATCGTTTAATCTCTTACTAGTGTTGAGAATTTTTCTATTTTCTCCTTCTTCGCAAAGAAAGAGAAATAGAAGAAGACTTTACCTAGTCCGCTCGTTGTCCTTCCCCTCCAAGTCGTTCGCTTCCAAGTCGAACACCCGCGAAAAGCTTGCTTTGGACGCCTCGTGCAACAGTAATACCTATTGAGTAAATTATTAGACTATATTTTATTAAAATACCAAATAATTTTCGTTTGTTGATATCGGACTATCGAAGGTGCGCTAACAAATAATAACCATGCACTGTATTGTAAACAACCCATAAATAAATAGATTTGAATACACGTTACATAATATAATAACGTACATAATAAATGCATAGGATAATTTAAAACGTAAAAATGTATACGCTTTATGATTTATTGTAAGTTACTTTATACCTATAAATATTACCATAATCACTTAATTTCAAACAAAAACTATATGAATGGTTGTTATGATATTTACGGTTAAAAAATTAAAACTTTATGAAAATCGAGTATATTTTAATGTTAAAAAGTAACTCAAATACACTATATTTTACATACATATTTTATGATAATTTATTTCATAATTTCGATAAAAAATAATCAAAATTCACAAATAATAAGAATCAACTTTAAGCATTTTAAAGAACGTCGTATCCGCATATGTTGTCTCCGTTTTACTAATGCATACCATACAAAACTATAATACGTTCAGCAATTCCAATTTTGTGTTTTTAGAAATTATTAAAATGAAATGACCTATTATAAAGTTTAAAGATAAGAACATTATTTGTGTTCTCTTGTTAAATTTTTACAGTATTTCAACTATTAAGTCAGTAATGAATATGTAAAATAACTAATATTTAAAAATACTCATAATACACTTAAAAATTAAAGTATCACAAAACACAACGATAGAACTCAGATATTGTTTTCAATTCTAAGTTTGATCACAGGGCGTACATTTTAGTATTTTACGCGTTAGTAATAATGGAGATAACGTACGCAGGTACAACATCCTCTTAAGAATATGGCGCTCGGTAAAATGTCCTCTTTACACCCCTATCACTGACACAGCTGTGATTTACAATTTACAACACACAATTATAATCATAACATTAACATTTATAAGTACCTGGACCCTTTGACATTGTATAAGCGATTGAGTGTGCGTGAGAATTCTAAAAACCATATGCTCTATTGTGCTCTGTTCTTCGAAAATCATACGTGCGAGATCCAATAGCACCTAATTTACAATACAATAATAATTCATGATCTCATTATAAGTATAACGAATAATAATGTAGGTACATGGAATACATAAAATCAAGGTGACCTATATATTATCATAATTTGACCTGATTAAATCACGCACCTGATTCCTTTTCACTTCTAACTGGCTTTTTTCGTAAAGCTGCGCATTTCTGAGACCGATGCCACAGAATTGCAAGTAGTCAGCAAAAACTTTCTCATCGTTTTGAGTGAAGCACGGGGCATTTTTTTTGTTGATTACCTGAAAATTATTAAATAACACAATTAGTATTTTGACGCAATATTGTGGTACGAATGTCATCCAAAACTTACTTGTGCTACACCCATTACTTCACCGTTGAAATCTTTGATCGGCATGCACAGTAAACTGTGCGTTTTATAGCCAGTACGGGCATCGATATCGTGGTTAAAACGTGTATCCTGAAACAACAATAGACTTTAATTTAATATGTTTAATTATTATTAATATCATTGTGATATAAGAGCCTTGAAAATGCTGTAATCTCAAAACACACTACACCTTGACCCAACATTATAATCGAAGCATTGGACTTATCTATGGAAAGGTATTTTATTTTATTTTATTTTATTTTTTTTTTTGACAATTTAGTGGTTATCAGCAAAAGGGAAGGTCTAAAAACTAGTACTAAGCTAGTATAGTACACACACACATACACATATATATATATATATTATGATTATTAAATCATAATTTGTAAAAAAAAAAAATCGACAAACTAAGATATATAAGATTTAAAAGCTACATAAAATACAATTAAAATTTAATTCATCTTTTAATACGTCAATACCTATACATTTATATATTATAAATATCATTTTTTTTTAATTTTTATCGTTAAAATAACATTTATCTTTAAATAATGTACAGACTTTAATACAATAATATGTGTATGACTTAAATTATAATAAATGTTATGAATGTTATGATTGTTGTCTTTGAAATCATGTAACTATTGTGTTCGTAGATTTCAGTTTCTCGAGTATCTAAATATTTAAATAAGGCAGTTATTTTTATGTACGGTATGACAAGAAGATTTTTATTGTTTTCATTTTAAGAAAAACTGCTATTTTTGTTTAAATATAGAATAGGAGCATTTTATTGTAAAACCGGTTCTTCTAGTTGACAATGTATGCGAGGTTAGAAACTGATCTCTGATAAAAAAATTACACAACTACAATTAATACTAACGTCGTAATAATTTAGTAATCAATTTTTTTTTTTTTATCAATAAATTATTTAAATGACATCCTTTAATAATAGGATAAATTGATAAAAATGAGAAATATTGTGTCATTAAACAGTCAGAATGACTAAATACGTTTAATAAGATGTTTGCATTTTTTTGTAAAAAAATTTAATGTCATACGCTGAAATAACACTTCAATATTATTGGTAAGTACCACAAACTGCAGTACTATATACGTAAGGCAATCATACACGTAATCAACTATAATATAATATAGAGAAGTCGAAAACTGTGTTATAAGTAGGTTTTAAGTTCATTACCTTGTAACTATGACAAGAAAAAAACTAAATATTTATATTTTCATTAAAAGTGGATAATCCACTTTGGAAACGCTAAAAAAATGTAAATCTAAAGTGATTAAAATAAATATTCGGTAGCAACAACTGTTATCGAGCGATAAACAACAAGCTACATCATTTGAGGGAACATTTATGAACCCTCTCCAGTCGCTCGGCACATCCGTTTACAAACGCGCTGACGATAATTATTTGACAGTTGACAGTAAGACGTTTTAGATTGGTGTCTACAATATTATTCGCCAGTGACGAACTCAGCTCTTTTGAAAAAGGGGTTAAGAATTTTTTACTATTCTCAGACCTCGTAGTGACAAAAAAAAATAAAAATATATTATTATGTTCTTGCGTTCACCGTGTACAGATTATTAGAGTTAATCGTAAACGATTATACATCGCGGTTAACAGCGTATTAGGGTAATTCGTACGTTACATAGGACACTAACATACTTGCTATTGATGGTAACGTCTTGGCGTACATCACCCGGCGATGACGATAAATATGTTTTCATTATTTTATCATAAATTTAATCGTTATCGGCCAACTCGACTAGGGTGTGAAACATGAAAAATCGCACAGAAAAATGTCGAAAACGCGAATTTCGATTTCGACAATACAAAACGATGAGAAATCGACGAGACGAAAAAATGGCGGTGAGGAATATTATAGACCCTCGATCGGTCAAGCCCGCCCAAATTTTTATCATTTACACCAGCGGTGACCAAACTACGCGGCCCGCGGACCAACTCTGGACCGCCATCATTTAATATCTGGCCCGCGAAAGAACTATAATATTTAACATTTTCGTAAAAAAAAAAAAAAATTAAAAATACAGTATACATCCTTCATATTATTATTTAATCCTGTATCGCCATATTGTAGCTTAATAGTTTATTTAAAAATAATTTTTGGAAATGTAAGCCGATATAATTTTTTTTCATTTGTAATAATTATTAAGTTAAGTATTAAAAAAAAGTCATTAAAATTATTAAGTACAATAAAAACGTCGTTAAATATAAACTTATATACCTATACCTAAAATTCTGATGACGACTTAAAAGTAAAAAAAAATTTTACGGCCCGCGGTAAAAAAAAGTTTGGCCACCACTGATTTACACAAACGATGATTTTCACAGAATTCGGGCATTTACCTTGTACGCGTCCGGTATGTTGACAGGCTCGCCGCTTTCCGCCACGTACCCGACGATGCCCGTGCCCCACGGTATGTGAATTTCTTTTTTCTTCTCCATCTCCTGCAGCGTGGACCGCGAGCACACGTCGAACAGCTTGGACACCAAACACTTGGACTGGCAGCCCTGAAAGTGGTGCGAGGCGGTGGCGTTCATCGGCGCCTGTAGCGATCCGACGTTGGTGGACCCTATCGGCGACCCGGCGGTCAGGCCGCCCACGGCCGCTTCTTCGACGGGCACCATCACTTGCGCGGGGACCGCCGGCGCGTTGCACTGCGCAATAGGAACACGTTCGTTGCACGCCGCCGCCGACGACGACGACGAAGACGACGACTGACGGTTCAGATTGCGGTTGTTGTTGTTGTTGTTATTGTTGCTGTTGTTATTATTATTATGATGATGATGGTGATGGTGGTGGTGGTGGTGATGACTGCTGTTCGGGGGTATGTGGTGCAGATGGTTCTGTTGGTGGTGGAAGACGGCGGAGCGGGGTGGCTCGTCGACCGCGGCCGCGGTAGACGCGGTGGGCGCGGCGGACGCAGTGGACGCGGTGGTGGTGGTGGTGATGATGGTGTTGGAGACGGTAGAAGACGTTGCGGAGGCGGTGGACGTGGCTGCAGTGGCGGCTGTGGAGGCGGAATGGTCGTCTTTGCTCAAGCAGCCGACGGTAATGCTAGCGTGCGGTCTGCGCGGGCTGCAAACGCGTTTCGCGGGCCGGTGGTGGTGATCGTGCTGGCACGCCGACAGTCCGCCGCCCTGGACCAGGAACAGCGAACCGCGGTCGGCGTTCAACAGCGTACTGACGTTCTGCAGGATCTTGTGGCACAACGACCGCACGTCCAGCTCGTTGCATATGTCTTTCACCTGAAAACACGCAACGTTATTTAAGATAATATAGAAAATTTAAATTTACGACAATTGATTTATCGGTGATGAAATGGACACAGAATGGAAGTATATATCCAACTGCGTCCAAGTATATAGAATAGTTATAGATTGTGCGACATAAGCGATGATGGCCGACACGCACAAATCGTTGTAGCGTAAATTAAGTAGGTGTATATAGGAACTAAGTACCACGAGTAACTAAAACGTAGTCTAGGAGCAAAATTAATCGAACACTATCTAGCTCTGCAGTGTTCGGGCGAAAATCGCTAATTATTATCATAAAATACGTTCTGGCTGTTCATAATTTTCGATCGATCGAGCACGATTTAAGACACGGTTTTGATTTTAAAATATCTCTCACTTTGATTATTAATTATTTTACTCGCACTAATTTCCTACGGCTGCGTAATTATTTCCCTGCAAAACATGACGTCGTGTCAAATAAAATATTATGTACGTATAATCAACGTTGACTGTCAGTTTTATTAACAGGAATATCTTAAACCGTGGGCACGTGCCTATTTCATAGGATTAAAAGTATCTCATCCCAACGAGAAATCAGTATTACCTCACACAACAAGAATCCGCGGTTAATCGAATTTATTACGAGTATAATATTTCCGTGCTCATAAAAAATTCAACACGGCCGCAGATAAACGACAACGGCGCCGGCGAAGTGTATATCATTACGTACGTGGGCGACACAGACACACAGACCAAAAAGGAATACCCTGTACAGAGTTAATTACTATTTTATGTACGCGTGCATATATCGCGGTTCATTAAAATGCACATCGCGTTGCGTTCCCGCAAACACCAATTGATTTGTATAAATTCCAATAGCGGCGGGGCATTAATGAACCCCGCTTGTCCAAGGTTTAAATATGTCCAATTAATGGCTGTTTGTGTTTGTACGTATTATGTTTAATATAATACAATATTATTGTTTATTACACACATAATATATTATGTGTGTTTGCGGTGATGCAGACGCGGCACCGACGTTACGGCTTAGACGTACGACACGATTTTGTTTGGTTGCGTGCGGTATCGGTTACATTGTGATAGTGATTTTTCGTCACTCATATGCTGCGAATTGGTTTGTCCCTACAGCGATAAGCGCATCATCGTTATTGTTAGTGTATACACCTATCCAGGCGTGGACTGGTAAAAATGGGCACGGGGTGCTAAATAATTTAAAGAGCAAATAACATATATAGATTATATATAAAATATTGAAAACACGATAAAAACGTAAACAGGTACTAAGCGAGTTACAACATTCAATCAAAATTGTACAATATTATAAAAAATATATAAATTTCCTAAAATTCTACAGTTGTACAGTAAATACATCAAGGCACATTTAAACCGGGAAGTAAAAATATATTTTAGAGTAAGGGATGCTGTAGCATCCCAGCCAGTCCGCGCCTACGCCTGCGCCTATCAGACATACTTCGGATACGCATTCACCATATGCCGCGCATGAACTGTTATCAGGTAAGATTGAACTCGTCACAAAGCATCTACAAACCCCAGAAATGCAATGTAACATATGTATATGTTACAATATTTTTTTTCAAGATAATTTTTCATAATTATCCAGAAATATAAATCTTTTTTGTACAATTAAGTTACAAACACACATCAATGCACAAATAATACAGTGAATTCACACATCAGCATCCACCTTTAGTTAGGCATCTATAGATATACCTACGTACATAACATCATATACATCGACGATTCACAAATTGCTTTGATTCGCACCTCACATCAATAAAGTGGAGTAGACAGAACAAAACTATAATATTAAAATTAAACTGATATGTAAATTTCAATCGAAGTATTGGCATGTAATACACACTATACTACTGGCCAGTAACAAGAAAAAATATTTCTATTTCGCTGTTAACTCAAATCATCTAACTTATTCTGAATGTATTATATTAAAAAGTGTATGATAATTTATTAAACGTTCTTCCTTGCACAACTACCAAGACCAACGATTTGCGAGTTTTAGTAATTTCATGTTACTTATTAATTATCAGTTATTAGGATGCAGAATTTTTGCATTTGCGTGTTAAGACAAAATTAAAATTTGTTTTATAAATTAAAATTACGGGCATCGCTCATTTGCGCCAAAAAAAATTAATTCGTTTTGGGTACTAGCACCAAATTTAGGTACCTGGTATAATTATAATTAAGTAATATATTTTTTCCTCAAACAATAATCAATACAATTTTATTTAAATTATGGTGAATCATACGATTTTTTTAAAAATAATAACCAATAAATAATAATACAAATTATTTTTAACAATAGGTAATAAATAGTTAGTAAGAACATATATTTTTTTAATTATAAGCTTTTGGTAATCGTAGTCAATTGGGACGAATTTTTTTAAATAATAATCAATAATACACATTTTAATCTTCATTTTTAAAAGTAGTAAAATGTATAACGATTAATGCTTTATGAACATCAGACACAGATTTAGGATTTGAAGGAAGAGATTTTTTACGAGCACGGTAAATGCTTTTTTCGTACAACGGATACATCAGATATAGTAAAATCTAAATTAGTTATGTAGGTAGTTATTTATTTCACCTAAAATAATTTTCCTAGAACGAATACTTGTGTCTTCGACAGCCACACGCTTACATGCTGCAATAATTGTATTTAAAATCTATAGACTTATAAAAATAACTTTTTTATATATTACAGACACGAATAGGTACACGACGTATTTTAAATATACAAATTAACCAATTCGTTTATGTAAAATTTTTACGCAAGTAAATTTGGCGTAAATGGGAAACCTCCGAAATAACCTACTCACCATACTTAACTAAAGATTTGTTTTTATTGAATCGCATATCTCTAAGTTTTAGAAAAAAACAAAACAAATAAAATTATATGCACTATCCTGAACATTTTATCGTGTCCTTACCTACGAAATTAGTTTATTTGTTTTGACAAATCTAATCATTTTTTAATGTATAACTTTAAAACAATCATATCGGAGTATGATTATAATCTGTTATTGATAATAAGTTGTAATGAGGGTTTCCTCATAACCTAACCCTAACCCGTTATCACCATCGCCGTTTTCCGCCAAAGGTTATACTTCGATTTCCGTAACAAAAAAAAAATTAATTAATAAATTATTTAAGATATTTTTTGAGAACCCCTAAACGTAAATACATAAAATAGTATAATAATGATTGTGATGTACGTGTCTCACCTTGTATCACAGATATTGATCATAAACTATTATCTTTTTCTTATCTATTAGGTACTACTATTATTCACATAGCCAGTGTATTTCCCAACGTCTACGCTACTACACACAAATAATTAAACAAATAGTAGACATAAACAGTATAAGTATAAATATTTATGATTAGGAACATCACAAGTTTGTCGTTCAAATGATAAATTAAATCATTAAAATTAAAATAACATAAAAAGCATAAACATTTAAACATATTTTAACACATTATAACGTATATATAAATTATACGATAAAATAAATGGCAGTTACACTATAAGTTATAGTGTAGCATACAGCATTAACGTGTCCATTGTTTGTGTTAAGATCATAACGTTTTTTTGTTATTGTGCTATTTAAATAAAACGAGTTAACATTTATTAAGAATATTTCATGGATTTTCAGTGCCCACAAGAAATTCCGAACTCTATGTAATATGTATATAAAATCAGCAAAGAAGTGGGGTGTCAACGTTTAAAAGTCTTACCAACTCAAAGATGAGCTGCTTCTCATCAAGTTGCCGAAGCTCGTGTCTGGACCGTCTCCTTGCCACCGGTGCCGTGGTCGTTTCGTCCGGATGTTCGTAAGACGCAAGGAATGTGGGTGTCCCATCCACAGTGGTCACCATGGGCTTTAGGCCGCCACGCTCGAATTCGTGTGCTGATATCTTACGCACCGGTGTGGTGGTGCCACTATTGCCACCACCACCGCCACTGCAACCAGATGTGCCTATGGATTGCTGACGTTCGATTCCCGTCGGTGTCATCGTCGCGTTTCCGCCGGTATTTCCTCCGCTACTTCCGCAGGCGCTGCCGCTAGTGGCACCACAGCTGCTAGCTGAAGCGTGTGAAACGAGCCAGGCGTCCACGATGTTTCTAGTAGCTTTTCTGAACACACGACAACAAAACCAATTATGATCATAATCAATTATTTATAACATATATCTAATATATTTCCAGGATGATCAACAAGCACGCTAAGCCCCTCCTTTTTTCCCTCAATATAATACAGTTATTCAAAATTGAATTTTTTAATACACTTATAAGACCATATTTTGTATTGCTTTAAGAGTGCCCTGTTTTTCAAATAATAACTCCTTTTTGTACTGTAAATTATTTAGCAGATAATTATTCTGAAAATGTTGACGTATCGAAATCGAAATTCGAACGATTAACGATATTAAAGTTTATTTTACATGTTTAAGATGGCTTTAGTTTAAATTTTAAGGCTTTTATTGATATTTAAATTTTAAGCTGAGTTATAGGTATATATACCTATATGTATACTTTTATGTAAAATATTAATACTTTAAAATGCTCATAAATCACTTTAAAACTTATAATATTGATCAAAGCCCATGTGATGGCCTGGATAAAATTCTTACCTTTAAGTTTGACAATAAGTAAATGTACTCTAATATTAAAGCTAACAACATAAAATGGATTCTACTGAACGAAAATTTGCTATGTTGTATATATGTGAGATACATGCGGGCGTGGCGTCCTCTTAAGTGTGGATTGGTAAATAACTGCATAATGTAATGTAACATAATCTAACTATTTAAAAAGTTGCAATGGCATCTAAAAAAATTCTATTATACTTATATTACGCTAGTGAAAAAAATTTCATTGTAGATTAGGTAATGCACTGAATTACTGAAACATTCACTCTAAAATGCTTTCTAAATGCGATTCATTTTTAATTCAAAGTTGGTTGTACTCAAATAAAGCAATGGTATACATTTGATCTATTTTTAATATCTTTTAAAAAATGATGCAACTGTCCACAACAGTAGACACTAGACATATAGTTTATGATGACAGATGAGTTATAATTGCCATTCAAGGGACCAGAAAAACAGGTCATAAATAAAATGTAGTCATAAACAATTAAGTTGCAGATAGAAGTTTTGGTGCTGAGACCCTATGGGTCATTAAACCATTATTTTTCACTATAACAACGGTTGTAATTATAGAAAACTGTTACAATACATTTATACGACATGGATTTTTCTATAATCACGTCCCACAATATTTTTATATTAATTAAAAATAAGGTTTTTATTAAGATAATTCATATCACATAATCATTTTTTTTAAATATTTTATTGGTATGCCAACTATTATACATTGACTATATCATAAACCGCCAGTTCAATCGATGTTGAACGTTAAAAGATGTAAAACATGATTTATAATGTAGTCCCATACACTTATAGTACAAAAATAGATAACCATGTACATTAAAAAGTCGGTTTTTTACCTGAGAAAATAATCGTAAGTGAAATCCCTGTGCTCGTCGAGCCATGCTTCGATTTTCGCGTATTCCGGGTCATAGTGTTGGCTCTTGGACGACGGACTTTGCAGTCCAGGTGACGACAGGGTAGTAATCCGAATCAGTTCTCCGCCACCACAGGGCTCTGCAGTCATTCGCAGCTCCTCCCCGCCGCTTCCTCTGGTTTGCAATCCTATAAACAAAAGGATACACCAACGTAAGTATAATAGGTATAATATACGAAAACAATTTATACGAATGATGTACACTTTAGATGCATTTATCGAAAATGGAAGTATTTTTCACGCACAGTATTTGTATCTGTACAATATAATATTATATATCACATTATAAACACAGTGCACGCGTGCTATGTAGGTACAATTACGAGTAAAAATATTAACGGACGTCTTATATTAAAACGATGGTGATTATAATACAACCGATGCCAAATAGCATACAAATACAATATTAAACTTCTACGTTTTTATATTTTTTTTTTTTTTTTGAACACTATAAAGTACCAACTACTTTATTAAATACACTATACAACAAAGCAAGTGTGTTATATTCTCGAACCAATGTCATCGTAATAACAAACACAACCACACACTCACATCATTACACGCAAAACTGAATAAATTGTATCCATATACTTACAAATATCGTGTATACAATATAAATATATATAAAGTATTACAATAAAACAACTCTTAACATATAAAAATCCATATACATAATATTATAAAACATACACCAGTTTGAGTTCTGAGCACAGTGCAGCGATGAAAACAAAATTTAATAGCAAGCCGGTAAAAAAAAAAAAGGTATGCGCGAAAAAAAACATTATAACATACGATGATTAATAACCTTCGATCAGAATCCACATAAATTATACATGCACGTATACGTATAAAATATGCGTACCATCGTCTGATCAGGACCGAATTAATTTGTGTGCGGCAGCCCGACAGACATGGATATTTATTTATTATCATTTGTGTCATTAAAATATTATTTTCTTTATCAATACCCTCGTGATTAAAGTGTACCGCCGGCAAGTGTACATATTATACCGGATTGATGTTCGTGTACCTACCTATACAATATACACATTTTCCTAATAATTATTCAAAACCAATACAAAGCACGATCATTTTATGCATATGATTATAAACGTGTGAGAGGATGAGAGATGCATAATCATAGCGCTCGACCGATTCCTGATTTTGCTAATTTCCATCGAGTCGGTTCGTAATAAAAAGCTTTGTCAACCACGTGCGTGTTCAGAGTATATTTTGTGGAAAAATCGTGAAAAAATTTATAACAATATAATTCTATGCTCACAATTAATGAAAACGGTTGTAAATATGACCGTCTGCGATAATCAATGCGAACGACAAAATTCAGGCGAAAAAACCAACCACTACAATACGGACGTCACGTCACCGTTGCACTGGTTGCATATAGGCCATGCAATATTATATAAATGAGATGCATTGAAACTTAAATTGTAAATTATATTAATATATTTTTTTTTTTTTTTTTTTTTTTTTTTTTTGTAACTTGTTCAGGTACCTGCATCGTCGTTGTTGTTGTTGGTGTTTTTGTTGTTATTGTTGTGGCGATATTTGGTTCGACGGTACCGATGGTGACCCATACCAAAAGTTTGGCCCATTGAACAATGCACCATCACGCGGTGTACTTATAGTTGCACCGCCATTAAATTTCGACCGTTCCACAGGACATTACAAGGTGACCTTGTCATTGTTGTACACGTATATTGTCGGCGAGTTAAAGCCAGACGCCACGTCCTTTACACACGCAATGGCACACAACATAAAGTAAGGGGGGTTCGTTATTACTTAAAAAAAAAAACACACCAATACTCGGGTCGTATATAACAGAATTCCAGCTCGGAAAATAAACATAACTTATCATGTAGGTACTATGTCGATTTCAGAAATTAAAAGCGACATGTCACCATCATGCGTCTCGGCCCGTCTATACAATTTGTAAACTATCAAACCATTCTTAACGAAGCATACAAAATCAGATAAATACGCCCTAAGGAAAATATACGTATTTATAAATTACCACTATTGTACTCGTAGTAATAACAAAAAAAAAAACTGAACAAAACATGACAATAAGGCATACACACTCGTTTATATAGTTTATATTTCCATAGGTTTAACCTATATTTAGTTTTTACACATGAATCTGTGTTAAATCTAAACAGATTATAACAGAAGTGGCCACACATGTTAGTCATTAAACTTAAATTATATAATTTTTACTTGATTGAATTCATCTACCTACTCCTTTTACTGATACAAAAATACCCAATATATTCTTAACGACTCCTTGAATTCTCCAGGCTCCAGTCGCAGACAAACAAAATAACAAAGTATAATATATACTAAATAATGGTAATGAGTGATGAGGAGGTCGAAAATCTTATACAACAACTTATTTGAAAAAGCCAATTAGTTACTTATTTTGTAATATTATTCATAACTCGTATATATATATATATATATATATATATAATATATGTGTTCAATAATAACGTGTCTACCCATTCCAATGATAACTAATTTGTCAGAAATCTAATTTTTTGTCACCCGTTTTACTAAAATCCAATTCACTAAGGTGTTACTATGGAAAATTTTTTTTGATTTTTAACAAACTGGGAAAAGTAATAGTTTTACAATAAAATTTTCCTTATTTACATAAAGTTAAATAATCATAACAGAGTAACAATAGTAAAATTACGAAATTTATAACATAGACAAATAGGCCATACCCGTATTTTAATAAAATCAACTATATTTATTTTGATATAAATAAAAATTAATAATAGTTTTTTCAATTATTACTCAAGTCCTTCTAATACCACAAAATCATATTATATAAAACACTACCGGACAATCCGGAATAATGGGCCAATGTAAATAATTAATAATTAAGTTAATTCAGTTGACGTTACTACAACTGTGATCAATGCCATTGTATTATTTTAACAAATTTACATATAGTACAAAAAACCGATTGTAAAAACTAATATATTAAAAAAAAAAGAAAAAAATAGTAATGTAATTAATTTTATGAAATTTATCGATTCAATTTGAACAACCTTGTGAAATAATTTACTAATACTCGTAAGCCTTTTTTTTTTTTAAATTGTCCAAAATATAATACATAGGCATTAATTTTGCTCAGTTTCCTGTTCTTAAACATATAATAATATTCTATTGCATAAACTAAAATACTTTAACAGTAATGCATTTTTGAATAAACACAAAAATAAAATATTAATATAGTCACTAGAACCTTATTCAAACATTAATACAGAAATTAATAACAATTGCCACAATCAAACTATTAAAGTCACACTTGGATAATAATTTAAGCTTTTTCAGCGATTGACGTTGACAATAATGCGCTCAATGATATTATTTTTATTTTAACAATACCGACTAAATTAAATACAAGGATTTTACGCTACTAAGTTACAACTCAATTTCAGTCAAGTAGAGGACAATTTTCTGAGTATACAATGGAAATCAAATATTGGACAAACATTTGGGACATCGATATATGAATACAAAATAAAGAGAACAAACCCAATTTCGATAAAATACAGTTGTGAAAACGGTTAAATGAAAAATGTAAAAAACTCCATCAGCGTTATTTGATTCTGCTATATTTTTAATAAATAAATGCAAAGACTTCCGAAGAACTGTTTTTTTTTTCATTTTCCATAATCTTTTGGGTTCAATGATCCGTATTCATCCTTTCTCCATTTTATCAGCTTTCACAAGCAAAAACTCTTTCACCAATTATCCCAGTCCCGTAATATATGTACATATTGCGTACCTGTAACATATGTATATATAAATATATACATACATAACCGTTTATGTGTACCTTTAGTGGCTAACATATGAACAACGACGTCGATGAACCATCCTTTATGACTGCAGAGTTACTTTTACTGGACAGAATTCATTGACACCACAAACATAAAATAATATCCACCTTATTAACCAACTTCATAAAAATACTCTGAAGGACTTCACGAACTGCACCTGACGAAAGTTTGTCGGACACTATATACTATGCAGATTTCAAGACGTATAATATTATAGGTAAACATAATATGTTAATATTATAAAAATAAAAATGATATATATTAATATATATTGCGTGTTAACTGTCAGTAACAATAATTATAACATAACATCGAACACGCATATTAGATAATATCGAATTCAAAGAGACATAAATGATAATAAATATTAAACGTTCGTGCATAAAAAAAGTTTTCTAATGGGGGTTAGGTTATCACTTTTCCAACCGGAAATACTAAAGTGCAAAATATTACCAAACGAAATGCGCATCTTTCAAACGGGTGCGGCGCTTACGACAAACATGCATTATACACGTAGTTATGTAAGTGATAACCCAACCCTATATATTATAAAATAAAAAAAATAAAATTTTTTTGGCTTTGTATGATTGGTATACACTTTTTATTGATTAAAATATTAATAAAAAAAAAACGTTTTTTCTCAAAATCCTGATGCTAGGTTAAACACTAAACCAATATAGTTTATTTTTAATTAAAAATAGTATGCTTTAAAATATGAAATAATACACCTATAGGTTCTCATTAAAAATACTTTAAAACTTTAATATAGTATAATTAATTATAATAATTAAAGCTCAAATTTAAATGTCCAACAAAAGATCAATAAATGCCTTTTCAATGCAATGACCGTAAAAAATAATTTTAATTGTTTCAATAGACACTCGAACGAGTGAAAAACGACGGTTTAACTTTTCTTTATCTTAACTAAACTGAAAATGATACAAAAAAAAAATAAATAAAATCACGCACAATAAATAAACAGCACATACTCGAAATAAACGCGATGTAACTTCAACTAACCAATGAATTGTTAGTTTATTATAAGATACCAGATCCGATAATTTTTTTAAGTTGATGAAGACGTTACTAAAGACGAATTATTTACTTGGACTACATTCTCCCAGAATACCCAAAACGTTATATACTTGGCATTGAAATTCAAGTCCTAATGATAATATTACCTATAATAATTAATTCCATAATGATGAAATAAAAACAGAAATTAAATCTATATTTAAGATCTATTTAGGTATAACAAAATATAGTCACTATTTCACTTTAAAAAAACTAGTTTTCGTCGTACATACTATACGTCCATAATATATATTATGCGTACAATGTACTGCTATCAAATCAATATTTTATAATCGCGTTTATCGACTATCAATTTCGAAATGCGTCTTGCCCAGTTGTTCAATATACTCACGATACACAGTAGTTATATGCTAAAGTCATTATTTTTAAGTGTAAATGCGTACGTAATATTCGATGAGCAGAAACTTTGTTGGTATGCAGCATGCACCCTTATAGATTTTAATAAAGTGACGATGAATATCGCACGCGCGTTATCAACTATATTATAATATCCACTATTTTCAAATGTCTAATACACAAAACCCCAAACCACACGAAATAAGCAAAATTTGCAAAACATATACAAAATATTATGTTTACGATCAGTATATTTGGTAAGCGAGATGCGTGGATCACTTCCTCCGTGGGATTCTAAAGGAAATTAAATAGTCGAATGAATAAATAAAAATGTAAGTAGAATAATGAGGGGGGACAACACGAAGGGGGACACTCGGTATCAAAAGTTGTGTTAAAAAAAAAAAATTGGTCCCTTGGTCGAATTTCAAATACCTACACACTGCCACTAATAGAAACGAGTATAATATAATAAATTGTGTAATAGACTTTTGTAAGGTTAACAATATTTGTTTGTCAGATTACAACAAAGCACACAAAAGCCGTGAGGGCCGGAAAGATACATAAAAGCATATCACCGACGACGATGACGATTTAACGTCAATACATACTTCGTAAGTGCCTGTACAACTGCAGTCGCTGTAAAATGCTATGCATGCCAACGGGCACGTAGGCTATGGTAGCAGCGTACAGTGTTTGTGAAAGGGGATGGGAGGGGAGAAATGGAGATACGTCGTGTGTATAATAAATGTGGTTGATAAATCTGCGATAAGAGCCGGTTATCATTGCGAAGTGAAGCACACGTCCGTCTGTATAGTATACCGCACTATTGTTGTACGAGTATTTGTATACCGTATAAAATATAATAAACGAATATATTAATATGATAATAATATACGCATATATGTATGTATATAATATTATAATGATTTGTGTGTGCGTAGTACGATTATAATAATGTTATATAAGGTACAAGCGTATAGCGCGCATTATTATCGCAACTTACAAGTTATCAACGAGTCCGTTTTCCTACGGTTAGGTAGCTATAAAGGTATATGTATTGTATGTCACGTTGAACAAGTTCGTGAAAAAAAAAAATCTTAAATATATCAAGTGTTTAATGTAAAGCGGATTTAAAATTTATTTGGAATTTAAATATCCTGCGTTTATACGATTATAATGACGATACGACCCATAGGTATTTCTGCAAATATTCGCATTATGTGCGCGTATATAAAGTAAAAATCTAAACGCACTCGTCATTTTTTTTTTTTCTATACTAATAAGTAATAAGTATTAACTGATCAACAACCGACTAGAAATTTTTTTTGAACTCCAGAACAACCGGCGATAACTACGGACATTTTTGTGGAAATTTTATTACTTTTCACATAGCATCTAAGAATTTATTAAGCTTGCAAATATTTGGTTGAGTTGCGCGTAATGTGC